ACCTACAGGCATTTTGATTTCTACAAAGATTCACAGTTGTCTAAAAAGAAGCAGGCTTGCTCAGTGCATGCATAACCATGTGTCAGACATCACAAAAATGTTCACGAGGAGCTTCTGTTAGACACCGTGGTCTGTTCTTGATCAGAAAAGCCCAGTGAGTAAAATGTGCCTCTGTTTTCCTGAGGAGGGAAGAGGTCAAGAGGCAGTAGTATCCTTGTAAAGTACTAAAACAAAGTATATCTGCAGCTTGCATTCTTCTAACTCTACTAACCAGTTCACACCTCTCTTTAAATAAAGAAAAAAGAACATGTGAAGTACTGACTACAAACTGTCATTATGTACCTTCCCGCTACTAGCTGCTTCCTTAAAAAATGAGCAACGGGTCATTTTAGAATAAACATTTGCACTGAATGAACAATAGCTTTAAGGAAAAATACAGAAAGTTGAATAGAGATGTGGTAAAGATTGTATTATTTCTTACATAGTTACATTTGTTTTAGAATAAATTTGTTGTTATAGTTGACATTCTGTTCTAAGCTCCAGGAATTTAAAACTCTGGGAATGTCAAAATTTTGGGAATAAGCTGTTTTGTACTGCTTAAACTCCATTATTTGTACATAAATGTGTATTAGTACAGCCCAGGTTTGTACCATATTTTAAATTGCCTTGCTGTCCCGTATTAGAAATTCTGTAAGTAGTGCAACAGTTTGTTTAAACTGCTCTAATCATTCAATTAATTTCAGTGTCAGTTCTCCCACCTGTACCACATCCGAGGTCAGTTCTGTTGATGGAGGGCTTGCTGCTTGCTTTAGGAAAGCTTTACCTCCTTCAGAACACACTGACATTTTATTCCACTCAGATTACACACAAAGCTCTCGGAGGTGACTCACATTCAGGTGGAGGGGAGATCAGATTTCTGTATGATTCAAGCTGTGTTTACTAGCTATAAACTGTTGTAAATTATAGGGGGGAGTTAATCTACAGATTCTAAAACCTTCTGTGAATATGTATCCCAACGTAATGGTGGCAATCTAAGAAAGATGGAGTTATTTAAGAGGTGAAATGTAATTCCTGAGATCTGTGACAACTACTAATGACTACATGTTTTCTCTCCCATTAGGGTTGCAACAGTACTACTTATATTCAAGATGCTTTCCAGCTATTGCTTCCAGTTCTGCAAATTTCACATATCCAGACCAGTTGTTTGAAAACACATTAGGGACAGTTTCCCAGCAGTTGTCACCACTGGGCTTAGCAGAAACCACAGACCTAATCTCTTTAATGTATGCAGATACAAGAGAAGCTATGAGAGATGTCTGGTCACTTAAAGTCTTCTGAGGACACTAAATGCAGTTTTGCACATACAGTATTGAATAACATTTTAAATCTTATTTAGACTTTTGATGTAGTTTGCAAAGTGAATAATTTCTCTTCCATTAGAGTATGTCCTTTGCATTAATTCAATTTGGGGCAATGGTTTATTGATATCAGTATTGACTAAAGTACAGATTCTAAATGCTGACCCTTTCGATTTTAAGCAATGTATGAAACAAATTAGAATGTCATGCTTTTTTAAAAAATTAAGCCCATTTCTGTTATTTGGATCTTAACTCTCAGTTAAAAAAGATTTATTTCAAAAGTCGGTTTCCATATTTAACTTTAGTCAACATGAACAAATTATCTTAGTGTTGTGCATAGTAATAAATAATCTGATAATGATCTATATCATTTATGTAACAATTTGTTCAGAGCTGTACAGTAATAAGTATTATTATTTTACCTAATGAAAATTATGGGGATATGCATATACTGACATGAAATAGGGCCAGTTGGAGTATGGGTATAGCTGTATATTTGCTGACCCCTATTCATTCATATTTATCTTGATTCCAACTGATTGCACACTGTTGCAAGGCAAAGCAGTTTTTCAAGTATGCATGGAATAGATAATTTATCTCCTTGTTTGGAAACTGCTTATTTTTTAAAAAATCCTTGGGTTACAGCTTAAATTTGGGGTGTAAACATCATGAAGTTTTATATCAAATGGAATTACTGATGCTGATATGATGGAAATACAGTTTGCAGGCATAAAAAGTAACTTGTGAGGAGAAGTTTTGAGAGAATTACTTTGGGAGGTGATCAACCGACTTTACTCTGTACCATAGTATACTTGAACATCAGGAATGACATTAGAGAGTAACACTAGCAGTTGTGACAATTTGTCCATATAGGCTTAAAATCCTTAGCTGTGGACATCAGAGTTTATTTAGTATGATTTACCTCATAGAACCTTCCAATATTTTATGTAGCTCATTCTGCTGAATTTTCAGTTTACTACATTTTTCTTAGCTGCTTTGTATTTTTTCCTCTTGATATGCTTATGAATTCTATTTAAATGCTTTTTAATTGTAGCTGAGATCTGAATATGTTTAAGTGTAGAAGCATAGTTCACACGTTCTAAAAATAATGAAACAGAACATAAGAAAACACTGTCTTTTTTGTTAGAAATGCGAGATCATGTATCTACTTACACATGGGAACTTTTATAAGTCCAAATAAGAGATGACAGAAATGTCTCTATCTTATGTGTTTGTGGTCCCTGTTCTGCTGCCTCATCCATCATGGCTTTTCCATCTTCTGTTATTTAGTGCTGAAAGCAATAAGACATGTCATGCAAAATTTACATTCTGGCATTCCATAATTTAACAGTTTTGAAGTATCTTTCTGGGCAAGTAGAAAAAATGCAGTCCTCAAATTTGCTTGCAAATAAAGTTAATAAATAAATAAATAAAAATCTGTAACATATTACCATGAACAAAAACAAAAAGCCCTTCGGCAGCTGGAAAGGCAAACTTATCTTGACGTTCATTGGTGTTTATGCCATATTGAAGAGCTAACATTAGTGCAACATGGAGAAAAGCGAGACAGTGGAAAATGCAACTGGTGAGCAAGCTCACTAGCCCAGAGGTGGAATACATCTCCTGCTGACCACTGCGTCCACAACACTTCCAACTGGTATTGCTTTATTGCTGGAAGCCTGTTATCAAAAATGCATTACAAACAGTGCTTAGTTGATTAAAAAATACTACATCATATCTAGTGCTTCCCTGGATTCCACATTTCAAGGGGAGGAACGAACTCTGCCCTGGTAGCCGTTCTGACTATACTTGATCCTTCCTGACTGGGAGTCATTCTTGTGTGCATGCATTGAATGCATTGACCCAGAATAAAAACTCTTTAATGTTGTTTACTGAAGATCATGTACTTGCTCCATATACTTGATCATTAGTCATCCTCAATTTCAAAGGTCTGTACACCAGCCAAAACCTTCAGTAGTCGGTTTAAAAAAAAAAATCCTTTGTATAAAGCAGTTTTTCTCTTACTGTTGTTCTATTTCTTTGCTAGCAACCAAATTATAATACGTATTTTTTTTCAAACAAAGATTCTCAAGAAAACTTTAATGTTTTGTTTTCACCTATCAATCGCAACATCTTGAATTTATTTTTACTTTAGTTTATTTACTTTAGTTGAGAAGTCTTTCTGAGTAGAGCTATGCATTAAATATCTGTAAATGTGATGATATTGCCAAATTAATCATTCATAGAACATAGTCATGGCAGTTTAAGATTGTTCCTATACTGAATTAATGTTTTTAGACGTAAGTTATTTTAATTACTATAGATCTTTGTTCTTCTCTGAAATGCAGTGCAGAATATGTAATGTTAAACCTGTCAAGAAAATACATTGTCTAATAGTGGAGGCTTTTAATAGATATTGAACAATATAGTATTAGATGCCTTGAGGGAAATCTGTTTCAAATTGTTTAGGGACATTCTTAGGAGAAATATTGCTTGTCTGAAATAGTTCTTAACCTGATGTTTTGCTGTCATGCTTAAATTACGTAAGTGGAATTAAAGTGGACTAAAAATGGACTTAAGTGTTAACGTCCATACAGTTTAGGAAAGGGATGAGAAAGGGCGAAATATAAGTATAGAGTTACTCCATCTGATTTCAACTATGATTATCTTTTCTGTGGGAAACTGAGTGCTTAGTCTTTAAATAGTACTTTTCTTCAAAAATATGGAGTATGTGATGTGGTGTAACCTAGCCTTCAGTATTCAGTAACCAGAATATTTTGTTTATAGTGATTTGTATTTTTTCCATCAGCCAAATCAATCATTTGAGATATTGAATAATATACAATATACTAAAGATAATGTTGTTACAATAATGAGGTGATAGGAAACGTTTGTCATTTCTGATACAGAATTACCTTTGGAATGATGACTCTGATTTTATTGAGAGTCTAATGAAAACACTCTTTGCCTTCTACTTTCAAGAGACTTTCTTTCATGGCTACCTTTTTCCAGACGATATATTTAGTGTGCTTTGGCAGTTTTGAAACTACTAGTTTTTGGTTCCTATTGAAAAAAACAACTTTGGTTTTGAATAGCCTGTTCATTTGAGCAGATTTATCTTTTAGTTTTGTGAAGCTTGACAGTTAGTTCATTTGTGAGCATATCTCTTTATGCAAAGCAGAAAACTTTGGCTTTTGAACACACTGTATTGAAAAATTTATCAAGATGAAACATAAAAGAATGCCTACAGACTTTAAGCTTGCAAATATTCCACTATTTCACATCATCAACCAAGGATGAGGTACAAGTGAACTATTTGACAGGTTGTCTACAGAATTTGTAGATTAAAGGGGTTTTTTTTGCTTTTTTCTTCCCCCTTAAGCTAAGTTCAACTCTGTAATTTGTTTCTGCTTTTTAGGGTATACTCTATTCAAGTGTAAACATCTCTTTTCCATGATTTTCACCTACACTGCAGCATCCTTTGCTTGAGACAGCTAAACAAAAGAACTGTCTGTTTCACTTCTTTCATGCTACTTGGATCATCCAGTGGAGCCATTAATATCTTTTTTAAAAACATGCCTTTATCTTTTAATACTCAATTGCAATCAAATTGAGGTGATTTTTAATGATGTTTCTTGCTAGTGTCACTCACAGGTCAGGCTTCATAATAACTTTAATGAGTCTGAAATGCCATAGTATTTTGAATGACACAATAGAGATTTTTACCTTTTTTTTCTGATTCACTGAAGTGATTTTTATTGTACAGTCACCTTACTCATAGGATTATCTTTGACACATTACACTTTTATTTCACCTGACAGCCTTGTCTCTTCTCTTAGTTTCAAAAGAATGTGAAGGTGGAAAAGGACTTTCCTTAGCTTTTTAAAACCATCTCAGAGCAAGGCTTAAAGTGACACCATCAGCTAATCTGACCTACTTTGAAGTTCTAATAGTCTAGCTGGAAAACTCTCTGGACTCTAAACAAGTTTTTTTTTTCTACCTTAAGCCAGCTTTTGTCCCTGAGAATATAAGGCAAAAACAGTGGCTCTTATTGTGTGACCTGTACATTTTCCATGCTTTGACAGCTCGGCATAGCTAGAGCACAGTGGTTCTAGACACATATTGTTCACAGTGTGCACTATTGCAGTTAACAAATTGAAAATAAAATGTCAACATTTGAGCTGCATTAAAAAGATGGGAGAGGAAAAAATATCAAAGGAAAAAATGATATGTTTCGTGGAAAGAGGAGCAGTTTTCAAGACCTGGATTGGAGAAAGGAGTTTTAAAAGGAATGTTTCAACATTGTTCAAAGTAATCGAGCGAGGACATCTGATTAGTTCTGTCAGAATAGAAGTAATAGCATTACCGAAATAAAAATCAGGCAGGAGCTTGAAGGAAGCAAAGGTAAGAAGATGGAAAGAAGCAAAACTCAAAGGAAAGAAGACAGCTAATTTGATCACTCTAGATCTGCAGTCTTACCCATCTTTATTGCATGTACACCAAAAGTCCTCGAGTTCAGACCTGCTCAAAACTCATTAATCTCTCCACTTTGGTCTCCTTTTGACAGCTTCTCCTTGCAATCTTCTGAATAGATGCTCTAATGATCTCCAAGCAGAGCATTACCTATTTGTTCTGCTTTCAAATATTTTACACACAAAGCTGAAAAAAATATTTCTTATGCAACACAGCAATAATGTGCACAAGATTCTAAAGAAACTCTAGTAAGAGCTAATCGTAATTCACAGTGAAATAAACTTGCTGCTGCTGTAAAGAGGAAGGTATGAAGACATTAGTCAAACAAATGGGAGCTATGTGTCTTTTGCAGTCTGGGGCTAAGGAACGTTTGGCTAAAAGGCATTCAAGAAAAGGTGCTGGTTCTGGGTCAGGCAATGCCTTCTAAATGAAAGCTGGAACACTTTGTCTTTTGAAGAGTTTCCAAATATCTGTGGAAGCTTCTCTGATTTTATAAATATGCAATCCTCTTCTTGCTCTTGTTTGTCTCCAGCTATCTCAGTAGCTTTTAAGATGCTGATATTTAAAGGGGTCTGTGTCTTTTCTGTAGTGCCTCCATTGTTCTGTCCCTGTGCCCATTTTGCACATCCCTGTAGTGCATCAGTTCTTTCTTCCTCATGGGTTTTGTGCATCCCATGGCACTGCAGCTTCACCTCTGCTCCCCCTCCAGTATCTGAGGGTCTCTTTCCTGCCCGATTTCC